TACATTATTTACATTATTCAGACTATTGTCCTCATCTTTGTGGCCATATTTATTACAACATTTCGGCCTTTCAGTACCTGTCTATATTTCTGAGATGAGGTATTATGTACATTATTTACATTATTCAGACTATTGTCCTCATCTTTGTGGCCATATTTATTACAACATTTCGGCCTTTCAGTACCTGTCTATATTTCTGAGATGAGGTATTATGAACATTATTTACATTATTCAGACTATTGTCCTCATCTTTGTGGCCATATTTATTACAACATTTCGGCCTTTCAGTACCTGTCTATATTTCTGAGATGAGGTATTATGTACATTATTTACATTATTCGGACTATTGTCCTCAAATTTGTCGCCATATTACAACATTTTGGCCATTGTATGATCCGACCTTCTTCAGGTGGTTAGAATGTCGAACTGAACCTTTTAATTCGCTCACTGAGGTACACTGTTCTAGTTTCACGTGTGATGTTTGATGGATGTCAGTTATCAGTTATTTCCTGTTAATTTCCCTCTGAAAGATCTCCACTACCTTAACTGGGTATTGAACTCACACTCTTTGGGTCCTGTCACTGGATATAACCAACACCTTTATCCACTGTGCCATGTGTCCTTGAGGGTTGAGTTCAACATTCCAACCACCTGAAGAAGGCCAGAGCGTACAACGGCCAAAACGTAATAAATATGGCAACAAAGATGAGGACAATAGTCCGAATAATGTGAATAATGATTAATAGCCTTAGTAATATTGTCTTAAATATATATATATGATAAAAGAAGACATAGTAAGAAATCTGCTGAAACTTCTAGAAAAAGTAGTAAAGAAAAGTAAGATGAAAGGACTAACTATCACACATAAAAGGAGAGAATGTATCATTAGCAAGAAAATGTGACACAAATCTGAAGCTACATTGGAATAATGGAAGATGACTTCCAAAAACAAAATATAGTATTAAGGAACTGGAAGATTTTGCTTGAAATAAAGATTGTTGAAGTGTAAAGAAAGAAGAAAGGACTAACTACCACGCATAAAAGAATAGAATGTATCATTAGCAAGAAAATAATACAAAATATTTCACTATTCATCAGAAATATTTGCAAGTGGAATAGTGTGAAGTTGTTTGGATTCTTAAATTCTGTTTTGTGGTTTGTTGCCTTTCTTTGGATACTGGTTTTTATTTTATTTATTTTATGACCTTAATACGTATGTATCAGTTTTGTTGTGGTCATCATATCGATATCTCATGGCAACTGTTAGCTTAATTCTTTGAGTGTTAGCTAAGTGTTGATATACAAACTGGTTTTATAAGAGCATTTTAATTGCATGCTAAATATGATGAATGTTGAAAGTGGATGTGTAATACTAGGTTTATATCATCTGCAAATGTTTGTATTTTATATTAGACATTCTCTTTTTTTCTCAAGAAATAACAACAAAAGATTTTTTTCATAATTTCAGAGGGTATAAAAATTTGGCTAGATGTAGCTTGACTGCCCAGAAAAGCAGTTCATTTAAGTGAAAGAAAACCTTGCCTTTTAAATCTTCACAGCCTTACGGCCATATCCAAAACATAGGAAAAGCTATGGAAGTAAATGCAGACAGAATACCTGAAGTGTTGCCCATGGAATTTGGCTGCCATCACTGTCAATTTCTGGTAACTCCTGCAGCCAAACCCACAAACCATCCCCCAAATATAATAATATATTCCTTTGGATCTTGTTGGAAAGGGTGGGGGCAGCACACAACCTTCATATACAATTACCAATCTAGGAGAAGGAAAACTGTGAATTCAAACCACCTGATGCATTTCAGGTCTTACCTCTTTAACTTCTGAACAGGCGGGACAGGGTAACTTCAACATCCCCGCTGCAAATGGAACCTGCAAGCCATTGTATTGCCCTAAATGTCAACATGAACTACAATTGTGAGATGGAGATAAATGATGAACACAACAATGCAAAATGCACTAACTGAATGAACTGATGATTAAAAATTAAATTTATCAGCATATTTTAATTTGTTGGTAAATAAAGCAAATTTTTTAAGTCAATATGTAATACTTGATTACATTTAACATTTAAGCAACAATAAATATATATATATTATTTACATTATTCGGACTATTGTCCTCATCTTTGTCGCCATATTTATTACAACGTTTCGGCCTTGTACACTCTGGCCTTCTTCAGGTGGTTGGAATGTCGAACTGAACCCTTTATTTCGCTCACTGGGGTAGACTGTTTTAGTTCCACGTGCCATGTTTAACGGATATCAGTTATCAGTTATCTCCTGTTAATTTTCCCTCTGAAATTTCTCCACTGCCTTAACTGAGTATTGAACTCACACTCAAGGACACATGGCACAGTGGATAAAGGTGTTGGTTAGATCCAGTGATAGGACCCATATATAGTGGACTCTCTTATTATGAACGATAAATGTGGGTCAGCATTGGATGGCACCTTTTGTTTTATACTTATGCATGCTAGCAGGGGCTATTGTGGAGAAAATCAGGTAAGGGAAAGATATATTTCATTTGGGCTTTCTTAAGTGTGATACTAACCCAGCCTTGCTTAGGGTGACAAAGGCACACTGACAGATGAGGTTTGTTAAAGCAAGATTTTGATGGTGTCTCTGCTTCAGAGCTTTATGAAGCTGATCATGGTGCTTCAGTCTACTGTCTTTAAAACTTAATGAAACATGTCTTACATCAGTCCTTTCAGTTTGATGCTTGGGCTTCCCAGGTTTTCAGATCAAAGTTGAGATGCTTCACGTTGTCTTTCAATTTGTCTTTGTAGTGTAAGATATATATATATAGAGAGAGAAAGACAGACAGTTTAACAGCAAAGTTATCCAGTTGTTAGATAAAGATTTGAACCGTTGTATCTGACTGGAATTCCCTAAGGTTTTCATAACACTATTGGACTCTTCTTTGAACAATAAGAATGTATTTAGCTATAAGTCGAAATGATGCTCTCTCTTCCTGTCGTGACCTCCTGATCCAGTTTTCCTCTCTACTGTTCCCTCTTTTTTAAACTTATTCACCATTCTCTTGATGGTTCTTGAATGGACTTTGAAGATGGAAGCCAGAGTATGAATGTTCATACCATTACTGAAGGTCTGAATGATCTTTTTACTCTCAACATTGCTCATTTGGGAAGATATGGTGGGGTTAGCACAAAGCCATTTTAACCTGTTCTCTTTCTAGCTGAATATCTCCAAGAGTTTTTCAGTGATTCTGATGACAAATGATGTCAAGATGGCTAAACACCTTACCTGAAGACCTGAGAAAAAAAGAAACTCAGTTAGTTTGGTGCTTTTTTTCTTTTTTTTTTTTTAGATATTAAACATTTTGTGGGATGGACAATTATCACATGCTGTTACAAGATTTTAACACTTTTGCTATTACACCCAGTATATATATATATATATATATATTTTAATGTTACTGTGTAGTAATCGGAATGCTGTTTCAAATGGAGTATGTCAGTCAAATTGAAAATTATATCAAATGCAAACAATAAGCAAAAAGATAATTTAACTTGCAGTTCTGCTTGAGTCAGCTTGAATAATGTTCATAATGGCTACAACTCTTAATTGATATGATGTTTAACGAAACAAACATTCTTGAGTGAGGCAAGTGTGCTCTATGATCCAGAGCCATCTGCTTTGAACACTGGGCCTTTTACTGAGTCAAATAGAGGTTAACAACCAGATGAAAGGTGACCGAGATTTGAACATCAAGAGAACATTTGCTCGATAAAGTCTTATGCAAAGATACCCACTTCAGTCTAACTGCTTTATAAATTAAAATCAAATTGTTCTAAATAAAGTGATTATGTGAACACAAATGCAGAGAGAGGCACACATCGACACTTGAATTTATTCAAAATACAATATAATCAACTGTTTTACATATATAACTATTGTATATAATTAGAAAAATTCTAAATAATTATATTTTTATCTAAAGATTAAGAAAAAAAGGCAGTGTGAAAGAAAGAAAAACACAGAAGAGCAATAACAGTAGAAAAAAGAAAGAAGAAAAGAAACAAATAACAGAGAAGGAAGTGAATAGAAAGAGAAAAGAAATGGCTGAAGCAAGGAAAGAAGGGAAAAAAGATTAAAAGAGAAAGTCTGAATGTAGAGCAGAAAGAAAAAGGAAGTAAAAGAATGAAAGAGCAGAAGGAAAGAAAGAATGATAAGAAAGAAAAAGGATGTAAAAGAAGGAAAGGAGATTGAATGAAAGAGAAGAAAGTAAGAATGATGATAAAGAAAATGAAATAAAAAAATGAAAGGGAATTAAATGAAAGAAGAAGAAAAGAAAGAATTTTAAGAAAGAAAAAGGGTGTAAAAGAATGAAAGGAAATTAAATGAAAGAAGAAGAAAAGAAAGAATGATGATAAAGAAAATGAAGTAAAAGAATGAAAGGAAATTAAATGAAAGAAGAAGAAAAGAAAGAATGATGATAAAGAAAATGAAGTAAAAGAATGAAAGGAAATTAAATGAAAGAAGAAGAAAAGAAAGAATTTTAAGAAAGAAAAAGGGTGTAAAAGAATGAAAGGAAATTAAATGAAAGAAGAAGAAAAAGAATTTTAAGAAAGAAAAAGGGTGTAAAAAATGAAAGGGAATTAAATGAAAGAAGAAGAAAAGAAAGAATGTTCAAGAAAAAGGGTGTAAAAGAATGAAAGGAAATTAAATGAAAGAAGAAGAAAAGAAAGAATTTTAAGAAAGAAAAAGGGTGTAAAAGAATGAAAGGAAATTAAATGAAAGAAGAAGAAAAGAAAGAATTTTAAGAAAGAAAAAGGGTGTAAAAGAATGAAAGGAAATTAAATGAAAGAAGAAGAAAAGAAAGAATTTTAAGAAAGAAAAAGGGTGTAAAAGAATGAAAGAAAATTAAATGAAAGAAGAAGAAAAGAAAGAATTTTAAGAAAGAAAATGAAGTAAAAAAAATGAAAGGGAATTAAATGAAAGAAGAAGAAAAGAAAGAATGTTAAAGAAAAAGGGTGTAAAAGAATGAAAGGGAATTCAATGAAAGAGCAGATGGAAAGAAAGAATGATATGAAAGAAATAGGATGTAAAAGAATGAAAAGGAATTGAATAAAAGAGTAGAAGGAAAGAAAGAATGAAAAGAAAGAATAAGGGTGTAAAAGATTGAAAGTGGATTGATAGAAAAAGCAGAAAAAAGAATGAATGATGAAAAAGAAAAAGAATGTAAAAGATTAACAGGAGATTGGATGAAAATGCAGAAGGAAAAAGAATAATAAGAAAGAAAAATGAAGCAAAAGAATGAAAGGAGATTGAAAGAAAAATCAGAAAGAAAGAATGATGAAAAAGAAAATGAAGTAAAAAATGAAAGGAGTTTAAAGGAATGATTGATTAACTGATTTGTTTTTTTTTTTTACACCTTATCAGCTTTTGTCAATTATTTAAAACCAAAATATATTTTGGACTGTAAGAATATTTTTTTTCAATAATACATTTACAATTTTCTTTTGCAATTAATAGATTATTCTCGGAACAAGTCTTGTTATTTAACCTTTAGCTTGGGGGAGAAAGAGATTCCTATTTTTCCCAGGAGTATTTGCACATAAGTAAATTTAATGAATCCATCTGGGAGTTTGAAGGAAAGAACAAAAGAAATGAATAAGTAAAAAGAGAGAGTGAAAGAGAGAGAACAGAATAGAAAGAGTAAGCTAAACTAAAGAAAGAAGTAATAACAAAAAAAAAAGTGAATGAAAAAAAGGAAAATTGAAAGAGAAGGAACAAAGAAAGGAAGAAATAGAAGAAACAAAAAAGTAGAAAGGAATGAACAAAAACAAAAAAAGATGAAGAAAAATGTCTTCATGACAAAAAAATTAGGAAAAAAAATCTTTTTAAATATGCAAAAAAAAAAAATCTGTACAAATAAATAACAAAAGTTTCTAAAAAAAGAAAAAGATAACATTTTTTTTTAAAAAAATCATAAAATTAAAAAAAATTGAATGCAAAAGAGAAAATGATGTTGTTCAAAAAGAAAAAGGAGAAAATTTGCATTAGTAAAGAAAAGAAAGAAAAAAAAGGTGTTTTCCTTATAAGGGATTCAAATCCTTACAATTCTCCTTCAATTCGGTCTCATATGACTCAGGTAATTTAATATGTTCCAGAAATAGATGGCAGTAAAGACTATTATGATTGCTTACTACTAAAAGTCAGTAGTACAATATGGATGACTGAACATCAACTATTTTCTTTCATAATAGAAGTCAATAAATGAGGCAAAAAGGTGGAGGGGGAGAATATTAGGACAAAGATTGAGAAAATACCACACCAGTGAACTGACCCCTAATTGGAAAACCTTTTCAAAGCATATTTTTAACCTTTTGCTGTTTAATAAGGTATTCCAATCTTGATTTTATGAGTAACTCTCTATTTCTCTTTGTTTGCTTCAGCTATTGTTACATGTAACAGTACAAATTAAAGCAAATAATTCCCCAATTTTTAGAGTGTGAGTCAAAATATAAAAATCACAACAAAACAAATTCATTTTTGCTTCATCCTTCCAGGATCTTACCTGAAGGATTTTATAATCTTGGAGGCATATAACCTTGAGGCATAATATAATTTTTTTTTAATAACTTCTGTTATCGTCTGTTTTCTTAATTTTTGTTCTTTTATTGTTTTCTCTACTTAATAGTATTTTTGTTTGCATATTCTCTAACTCTCAATAATCCCCTGTGTCTTAATGGCTTTAATGCCTTGCTTGGGGTGAAATGATTAAAGAAAAATAAAAGCAAGGTGATAATGACAGTAAGATGCTAGCAGCTACTCGGAGTCAAAGAGAATGAAAAAGCTTTTGGGAGGAGGAAGGACAATAAAAGAACAGATTTCAGGAAGGCAGAAGATGGCAGTTCGCATTGTATTTAAATTTTTTTAGAATTGTAGGATGGCAGAAAAGCAAGAAACTGGAAGAAATTTCCACAAGTGAGAAGTGTGAGAAAAGAAACTATCATAAGAGAACATATGGTTGCATCTAGCTATTTCAACAGTAAAATAAGATCTCATTGCCAATCTAAACATATGCTTAAATTTATATGGTCGAGTCACCAAGGAGGAAAGCTCATCAAAGCAATTGCCATGAAAATGCTTTGGTTATTTTAAATATTAGGGTATATCAAAAGTAATTTCATTTTTTTTTAACCAAGTTGATCTTTATGTAAGTAAATTGATTTTTTTTTTTTTTTTCAAATAAAACCAAAACTTAGCCTCTTTGGTACTACTCCTTATGAAATATGGTTTAAGAAATCAACTTTTACAAAATTGAAGATTTCTGGAACATTTACTTAATCTTGTGACAGGTGTTAACTCAAAAACCACTGAAAATCAATTCTTACAAGTTGATTTTATGTGAAAGTAAATTGAATAATACTAAATTTAGCCTCAGTTTTACTGCTTATGAAATATGGTTTGGAAAATCTATGACTTTTACAAAGTTTTAGATCTCTAGCACCTAATTTGCTTTGCTTTGCTTTATGGCATATCAACCTCAATGGGTTATTTAATGCCAACAAAATTTTTATTGCTGGTAAAATATATATATATACACACACAAATTTTTTTTCAAAAATGTATTTCTGGTAATATCTTTTTTTTTTTTTTTTTTTTTTCAAAAATATATTGCTGCTCATAATTTATTTTTTACAAAGTTTTTCTTGTATTAAACCCTATCTTTACACTTTCACAGTGCTTTGACCCCAGTTTGGGGGTTAACTATTTGCTCATAGTTGGGACCCTAACAGGTTCTACCAACCCGGGTCAAGGTGGACCTGGGAACAGCAGCAATTAAGAGGTGATTCCATGCTCCTCCCTGATCAGAGGCCTTGCTGTTAGACGTAGTTTATCGT